TTCTTTATAGAAATAATGGATTATGGTTTCCAGGATACAATTGAATGGATACATCTTACATATGAATTATGACTTCCCATGACTAGAACATCACATGAGTGCAATGTTTTGTGAGGTTGCTTAAAGGGGTCCTATTATGCTTTTTCACTTTTTTAATTTTAGTCAGCGTGTAGTGTGTATGTTTGGGCATAAAAAAGATCTAGAAAGTTACAAATCTCAAAGTCCACTCTAAAGGGAAATATTTAGTTTTTTAAAAATCCCTTTTCAAGAACTACAACGAACGGCTCGTTTGGACTACAGCGTTTGTTTTCCGGGCTTTGTCATATCACAAAGCGGCTCATTGGAATATCATTACAAATAATTCCCGCCTACAGAAATTCGAATGGTTGGGGGGGGTCTTTGTTTGGGCTTCCGAAAGCGGATGATGTCAGGAAACAGTGGTTGCAATTTATTTTTTAACTCTGTCCCTGAACATTATAACCCCAATTTGCTATTGTGTGCTGCGCATTTTACTGAGGACAGCTTCCACAACATGAGGGAGTACAGTGCCTGCCGGATTCGCCCAAAAAGCTTTTGTTGAAAGACAGAGCAAGGGGCGTTGCAGTACTGAAACACCGTCTAAGCTGTTCGCCAATCACATTGCACTGGGACAGCTAACCAATCACAACACATTTTGTTTTTCAGAAGGTGGACCTTCATCAAAGCCGGAACTAATAGAGCCGTTTGTGCCAGCCTGGGGAGAAAGGTATTTTAATAATGTAAATTATGTGAAAAATAATGTTTTTCGAAACACCAAGCATGAGAGCATGTTCTAGTACACCCCCAAAACAAAATCAAGACTTTGTAAAAGAGCATAATAGGACCCCTTTAAGGTTAGGCTGATTTTCAATAGCATACGCAATACATTTGGCTTCAACATTATGAATAAAATGTAGCATAATTCCATATTACTGTGCTAGAACTTTTTTTATTATAAAGTTATAAAATGACAATTTTTAAGCAATTCATTTTTACTAAAACAGTTAGCAGACAGTGTAAAAACCTAATAATAATAATAATAATAGGGCCTGCATAATGCTGGACTAGATTGTGAATTTACAGGAAAAATACATTTAAAAATGCTGCGTTTACTGCAAAGCAGATGCAAGAAAAGAGAGAGAGAAAGAGGTCTTGGAGTACCGCAGTGGTTGGCTTGGCCGGCACTAGCTGGGGGTTTTTAGTCAGATTAAACTCAGAGCAGCCACGTTTTCAAGACCATCCTAATAATGAAATATGTCAGAGCATATAAAGGACTCTGGCATACGTACAGCGTGCCAGAGGAAAGAGAGAAAAATGAGTGCGTCAGCACAACAGCCTGCAGCCTGTCAATATCTATCGGATCCCACATCTGTAAAACTACACTCCAATCAGCCTTCCATGTATTTACCATTGTCCCCGACCCCTGAGAAGTATACAAAAGTATCATGTGTAGACTATGCATGTAAATTTGACTGTGTGTGTTTTTTATGCATGCACATGCTGTCAGCGCCGCTAAATTTCAGTCTCGATTGTGTGCATGTGGTTTTTATTATTTAATTTATGATCCAATGCTATGTGTCTGTGTCTGTACGTACAGTTCATCTGCGGTCAAGTTTTGTACAGTGTATATAAATATATAAAATGTTACAAATATAAATTAAAAAAATTTAGATTATCTCTCTCTCTCTCTCTCTATATATATATATATAAATATATAAAACATATTTATAACTGTAAAATTACATATACATAACATTTCATCACTTTAATTTTAGTTATACTTTAAGTAATGTCTTGTTTGTGTTTTTGTCAGTTGTAGTTTTTGTTTTTTATATACTGTATGTCTATTTAGTTTTTTTTTTTTTGTACATCAAGTTAATTTAAATTAAAATAAAAGATGTTGCCTTGGCAGCTAGCTGAAATATTACTTTTTATATATTTCATAAATTTCAGTTAATGTTTATTTTATTTGAAGTAATGAAAATGTTTTAATTTAATTAATTAATTTAGTTTTTTTTGTTTTAGTTTCAGTTTAGTACTAATGATAAATATGAATATATAATTACATCAAAAATAAAATCATAAAAGTCTCTTTCAAAAAACTGTAAACCTGTTTGTCAAGACCGAAAATGTTGCTATGTTAGCTGAAATCTCTAAAAATATTTTTGCATATATATATATATATATATATATATATTTTAATAATACAATTATCTAAAAATAAAATAAACATTCATTTATTTTTTTAAAAATGATAATGATTTTTTTAAATAAAAAAAACAAGTGTCATTTTCATCTTTAGACATCTAAGTGCACGCATACAAACACACTCAGTGTATCCATCATTATCTTGTGTTAAATGAAAAACAAAAATACACACACACACACACACACATTTACAACTATAAAATTATACTGTATATGAATTCTAATATTAATATTATACTAATATTCACATTACATTTATTTATTTATAAATATAAAGTATAAATTATAGTCCCATTCAAAAATCTGCAAAGCTATTTGTCAAGATTGAAAATGTTATATTATAGTTTATTTTTACTGAAAACCAGAATTTTGGAATGGACTCTGCATGTATCTGTGGTCACTGCTTTCACTTTGTCTGTCTGATTCCTCCACTAACACAATCACTCCTTGCAGCAACTCACTCTCTCACCTCAACTGACAGGCTACAAATGGCCAGCAGTCGCCCTCCGTTTATCTTCATTTGACTTGGCTGAGACACAGTCACTGATCTGGAGTCAGATTACTGGCCTGTGAGTCAACTAACACAGCGCTTTACAGATGGCATGCTTGATCTTGGGCCAGCCTTGTAGCATTTGACCATAAATGAGATGTTGGCTATTAAAGCAGTATGGTGGTACTGATGTTGCGAGGCTGATAAACTATACAACTTGGCAGAGCAATTGCTTACTTATTGTTTGTTAATAAAATGAATTACGTATTGAACATTGGCGTCTTTTATCATATTTCTGTTGCTGCTGTTCATTAAAATAAATTAAATTTTACCAGGGTTAAACAGGCTCCAACGAACTACCCTTAACATGCCTTACAAAACTCCTTAACCGTAGTAAAATCACATTCTCATGTGGCATGTTGCTTTAATATGTGCAGTGTGTGTGTGTGTGTGTGTGTGTGTGTGTGTGTGTGTGTTCAAGTTCTTACCAGATCTCTGTCCTTGAATGGAGGCCACATTACTCTCATCCGCCACTGAAACACACAAACAAAACATCCATCAGCTCGTCAAACTCTCATTTGTGTCTCCCAATGGACATTCCAGACTGGATGTAACTTCACAACAAGGTCAAGTTAACAAGTGAAACGATGTGTTACTGTAATACTTTTTAAACATTTGCATGCATTTGTGCTTTTATTGTAAGTTGGTTTTGTTGACATTAGCATATAAACAGCTTCAAAGCTAACAGATATGCACTACCATGCAGAAAAAAGACTTCTTAAACTAAGCTGGTCTTAGCCTAGTCTTCCAACTTAGACAAGCTGGTTTAGATGGTCACCTAGTCTGACCAGTAGACCACCTAAGACCATCTTATGCTGGTTTAGGCTTCTTTTTTACATTAGGGTATAAGCCACAAAACTTCAAGACACAGTTCAAGCTAAATTAAAATTGTGGCATCATTTACTCACCATCAGGTTGTTCCAAAGTTGCATGAGTTGAAAACGAAATATTTTGAAGAATGTCGCTGGTAGCCATTGGCTTTCATATTATGGGAAAAATATACTATGGGAGTCAATGGCTACCAGCAACTGTTTGTCAAGTCACCTTTATTTATATAGCGCTTTATACAATACAGATCGTGTCAAAGCAGCTTTACAGTGTTAAACAGAAAAAACGTGTGCTAATAATGCAAAAGGACAATAGAAAACAGTCAGTTGTTCACTTAATGTCGGTTCATCGTTGATTCAGTGATGCCATCATCCAGCTCAGTTCAGTTCTATTCCAATAGTGTCTGTACAATCAAGTCAACAATACTGCAGGAAATTGTGTCTCCAACTAAACAAGTCAAAGGCGACAGTGGCAAGGAACCAAAACTCCATCTGTGACAAAAATGGAGAAAACAAGCATGGTGTGGCTGAATTCCAGGCTGCAACGCAAGTCAGATTGAGCAGAGGACTCGTCTGGTTTTCGTGGTCTTGTGCTGATGGCCGTCGAGGTGACGAGGTCTTCGCTCGGGATCTGTCTTTGGGGCTCATTTAGTTAACACGGTCTCCGCTGACATTAGGTGCTTTCGCACCACGTAGCCTGCAGGGTCGTTTCTAGAGAACAAATTTCTCCCTCGGGCCGTTTTCCTGGTTGCATTTGCACCGGCAGCAGGAACTCTGAAGCAGCCGACAGGGCCGTCTTTATTCAAGCATTATGACTCTTACTCATGCGATTGAAAAAGCATGAAAATCTGATTAAATATCCTATGACAATTTGCAGTATCATCGAGGCTGAGAAAAGAACACAACACTGCAGACAACAGGTACATGCCGTTATTGCTGTTTTCTATGTTCATGGAATAAATATGTTTGCATGGCTTTTTAAAAATGCAGGGTAGCTGGTGTTTTGTTTGGCCAATCAGCGTACACTTCTCTTGGGCCAGCCTTGTAGCATTTGACCATAAATGAGATGTTGGCTATTAAAGCAGTATGGTGGTACTGATGTTGCGAGGCTGATAAACTATACAACTTGGCAGAGCAATTGCTTACTTATTGTTTGTTAATAAAATGAATTACGTATTGAACATTGGCGTCTTTTATCATATTTCTGTTGCTGCTGTTCATTAAAATAAATTAAATTTTACCAGGGTTAAACAGGCTCCAACGAACTACCCTTAACATGCCTTACAAAACTCCTTAACCGTAGTAAAATCACATTCTCATGTGGCATGTTGCTTTAATATGTGCAGTGTGTGTGTGTGTGTGTGTGTGTGTGTGTGTGTGTGTGTTCAAGTTCTTACCAGATCTCTGTCCTTGAATGGAGGCCACATTACTCTCATCCGCCACTGAAACACACAAACAAAACATCCATCAGCTCGTCAAACTCTCATTTGTGTCTCCCAATGGACATTCCAGACTGGATGTAACTTCACAACAAGGTCAAGTTAACAAGTGAAACGATGTGTTACTGTAATACTTTTTAAACATTTGCATGCATTTGTGCTTTTATTGTAAGTTGGTTTTGTTGACATTAGCATATAAACAGCTTCAAAGCTAACAGATATGCACTACCATGCAGAAAAAAGACTTCTTAAACTAAGCTGGTCTTAGCCTAGTCTTCCAACTTAGACAAGCTGGTTTAGATGGTCACCTAGTCTGACCAGTAGACCACCTAAGACCATCTTATGCTGGTTTAGGCTTCTTTTTTACATTAGGGTATAAGCCACAAAACTTCAAGACACAGTTCAAGCTAAATTAAAATTGTGGCATCATTTACTCACCATCAGGTTGTTCCAAAGTTGCATGAGTTGAAAACGAAATATTTTGAAGAATGTCGCTGGTAGCCATTGGCTTTCATATTATGGGAAAAATATACTATGGGAGTCAATGGCTACCAGCAACTGTTTGTCAAGTCACCTTTATTTATATAGCGCTTTATACAATACAGATCGTGTCAAAGCAGCTTTACAGTGTTAAACAGAAAAAACGTGTGCTAATAATGCAAAAGGACAATAGAAAACAGTCAGTTGTTCACTTAATGTCGGTTCATCGTTGATTCAGTGATGCCATCATCCAGCTCAGTTCAGTTCTATTCCAATAGTGTCTGTACAATCAAGTCAACAATACTGCAGGAAATTGTGTCTCCAACTAAACAAGTCAAAGGCGACAGTGGCAAGGAACCAAAACTCCATCTGTGACAAAAATGGAGAAAACAAGCATGGTGTGGCTGAATTCCAGGCTGCAACGCAAGTCAGATTGAGCAGAGGACTCGTCTGGTTTTCGTGGTCTTGTGCTGATGGCCGTCGAGGTGACGAGGTCTTCGCTCGGGATCTGTCTTTGGGGCTCATTTAGTTAACACGGTCTCCGCTGACATTAGGTGCTTTCGCACCACGTAGCCTGCAGGGTCGTTTCTAGAGAACAAATTTCTCCCTCGGGCCGTTTTCCTGGTTGCATTTGCACCGGCAGCAGGAACTCTGAAGCAGCCGACAGGGCCGTCTTTATTCAAGCATTATGACTCTTACTCATGCGATTGAAAAAGCATGAAAATCTGATTAAATATCCTATGACAATTTGCAGTATCATCGAGGCTGAGAAAAGAACACAACACTGCAGACAACAGGTACATGCCGTTATTGCTGTTTTCTATGTTCATGGAATAAATATGTTTGCATGGCTTTTTAAAAATGCAGGGTAGCTGGTGTTTTGTTTGGCCAATCAGCGTACACTTCAGTTCCTATAGAACTATTTTAGACCCTACTCTGAAGTAGGAGCTAAATTATGGCACTTTTCCACTGCGTGGTACGACTCGGCTTGGTACAGCTCAGTACGGCACGGCACGGTTCGGCTCGGCGCGGTTTGTGTTTCCACTGCAGTTCAGTACCGCTTTAGAGTGGGCAGGATTATTCACATGTCGTTATAATAGTTGCGCCGCCTCTACTACCATAACTCCTAAAAAAAACTTTTTCATTCCGCGTAGCCCCATCAAGCTCTCGCTGGATCCGCTCCTCTGCTATCAACGAGAGGAACGTCTGTTCTTCCGCAACAGACAACAAAACTTTTTGGTTGTTAAAAAAAAGGTGCGCTCGATCAAAACAGCTGCATTCGATCTTTCGCTGGCTGTGCTGATTTAAATCTAGCGGTTCTTTTGTGTTCGTGTCGCAAGTTCAGTGACACAGGTAGTGACGATTCTCTCCGGCCAATCCGTGATCAGCAGAGTTTACACGTCACGTTTTGGTAACGGTACGGTTCACTTGGAACCCCAACCGAGGTGGTACTAAAAAAAGTACCAGGTATCAGGTACTGTACCCAGTGGAAAACCCCCCAAAAGTGAGCCGTACCGTGCCGTACCATGCAGTGGAAAAGCGCCATTAGTTCCCCCAAAAGGAGTTCCTAGAACTAAAATACATTCCTAGTTCCTGCAGTGCGAACACGCCAAAAAGCGGGAACTTCCACCAATAGTTCAAGGAACTATGAAAAGGTTCCTCCAGTGCGAAAGCCCCTATTCAGGGCTGTAGAGGTCGTCTCTAGGTGCTCTAGGTTTGGTTACCAACATTCTTCAAAATATCTTCTTTTGTGTTCAACAGAAGAAATAAACTCATACAGGTTTGGAACAATATGAGGGCAAGTAAATGCTGACAAATTTTTCCATTTTGGGTGAACTATTTCAAGTTTTATTTTATAGGATTTTTAAGCTATATTTAACCTGGAATAAGCTGTTGTAATGCGTATAAGTCCTAGCATGACTTACATTTGTCTTCTAAATTGAACCTTTATAAGAAACAGAAACTGACAGAATAATACATTGGATTGGTAGAAATCTCTTCTGCTTAATTCTAACTTTTTCCACATGTGTTCTGATGTATGGATCTAGCTCCATCTCTCTCTCCTCCTGCAAGTAGCCACACTTGGTTTTAATTAGGAAAGGCTGTGCAAGGTCAGTTACGCTTCTGTACAGCTGAGAACATCTGTGGTTTGCCTATAAACACACAACTACACACATATAACACACACACACACATACACACACACTCAAACAGCTCAAGTTACATTGTGCACACATAGCAAAATTCATAACAAAGAAAAGAAAACAGGATATATTTTTTTATTGTCTACAGCAGCTTTTGAAACAAGTGTCTAACGCTCTCCCAGGCTGCATTTATTGTTTTAAAAATAACAACAGTTATAAAAACAGTAATATTGTGAAACAATATTAAAATAAGTACTTAAAATAAGTGTTTCCTATTTGAATATATTATAAAATGTAATTCATTTCTGTGATGGCAAAGCTGAATTTTCAGCATCATTACTCCAGTCTTCAGTGTCACATGACTCTTCAGAAATCATTCTAATATGCTGACTTGCTGATCAAGAAACTTTTTTTTATTTATTTTTTTATTATGAATGATGAAATGATGAAAACAGTTGAGCTGCTTAATATTTTAGTGGAAACTATAATAATTTTTTTTCAGGATTCTTCAATGAACAGAAAGTTAAATAGAACAATTTATTTGAAATAGCAATATTTTTTATCAATTTAATGCATCTTTGCTAAATAAAATAATTTATTTCAAAATAATCTATCTGATCACAGATGTTAGAACTCTCTATAGTCTACAGTATATAGCAATAACGCAAAATGCAGTCCAAATACACATAAATTTGAGATGCACTCTCTAAAAAATATCTTTTCAACTTCTGTTTTGACTCGTAATCTGGTTTTTAGAATGCTTAGGGTTTTGTTTTGTTTTTGTTTTTTTGTTTTGTTTGTGGAAAGCAAAACAAGGACAATTATAAAAATTAAATTTTCTGCGGTGCATATGTGCGACTACATCTATGTAAGCCACAATGACACAACTAAGATAGTAGCACCCCATGGAGGAAAACAAGGAATTATTAGTGTGTGTGAGCCTGAGTGTGAGTGGTGAAAACGAGATAGTGTTTCTCTGCGTGTGAGAGAGAGAGAGAGACTAATCCGCACAAACAGGATTGAGCAGTGAAAACCAGCTGCTGCCACAGGCATTGCACCATGGGATACAATAATGGGGTTTCATTACACTGCAATTTCTCTTAAATAAGCCTTTTCATCTTTTATGAGCTCAATTTCCCCAGCAGAGAAATAACACTGGAAGAGAGACTTGTGCGAGCCGGTGTACATATGGACACGTATGTAAGAACACAGACGGGGCTGATGAAAAAATAGATACAGAAGAATAAAACCCCAAACACCCTAGCAACCAGTCAGAACACCCTAGCAACAACCCTTAATACCCAAGTAACAATGAGCACCCTAGCAACCATACTGAAGACACAAACAACAATGAACACCCTAGCAACTATCCCAAACACCCTCAGCAATCACTCAAAACACTACATCAAATGCCAGAGCACCCTAGAAACCACCCAGAATCCCTTATCAACACCATGGCAACAACCCTGAACATCTTAGAAATGACCCAAAACACCACAGCACCATCAGAACCCCCAAACAACAACCCTAAACACCCTAACAACATGCAAAATGTCCTAGCAACCACCAATCAACAAAATAGCAGAATTGCAAAAACATGCAGTGCATGATCAAACATTTAGGTGAGATAAATATATATTTTTGACAAATATCTAAAAAATGCCCCCCTCCACCCCTCAAATTAACTCTTTGCCCACCATTGACGAGTTATCTCATCTTTTACAAGAAAACTCCCCCCCCCAAAAAAAACGAGTTCCTCTTCAGGAACTCGAGCTGCGTCGGAAACGCTAGGGGAACGCCCTTCAGCGTGACGGGCTCTGAACCTTGTGTGTAATCAGACCAATAGATGGGCGAGACGTCACGGCGGGTGAGTGGAGGAAACCTTGGTTCTTGGCTCAGGGCCCGGTGCTGGGAGCTCCTTGTCGCCGCGTAACGCTAGCGACGGACGCGTCCCTCACCGGTTGGGGAGCGGTCATGAGTGGCCACCCTGCCCACGGTCTGTGGAGTGGTCGCCATCTCACGTGGCACATCAACTGCCTGGAGATGCGGGCCGTGCTTCATGCACTTCCTCCCAGACCAGATGTTCAAAATGCCTTAGAAACAACCCTGACAATGCTAGCAACACCTCAAACACCCTTGCAACATGCAGCACACCCTAGCAACCACCCAAAACATCATAGCGATTAGAGCCCGACCGATATATCGGTTAGCCGATATTATCGGTCGATATGAGCATGTTGCCAATATAACGGTATCGGCGAATATGCTGCCGATATGAAATTTTTTTTTTACAGAACATATAACGCAGATTAAATCCTTCTGAATTACAAATGCTAATGTCTTTTTTTCCTAAGGACATTTATTTTATTTTATTTTATTTTTATATTTCAATTTTTCAGCTTAAGCTAAATAGTGTACACATTTATCAAAAAGAAATAAAAAAGGACAAAAAGAAATGAAAAAGGATAAAAAGAAACAGCAACTGAACCACAGATCAAGGCCTATACAGAAAAATTGAAAGAGTAACTTAAAGAACAAAACAAAAAGGCGAGAGAGAGAGAGAGAGAGAGAGAGAGAGAGAGATAAAGAAATAAATAGAGAAGAAAAGGTCTGGATGAGGGATAAAAGATGGCAGTAAAGCACGACACTATGAGATGTGTGTAATGAAAACCAGTAAGCTTTCAGCAGTGAGTAGATTAGCGCAGTGGCACTGAAGCCAATATTCCACCCTAATGAATTGGAAACGGGCGAAAACTTCCCATTGTGGAGCACTGAAATATCCCTCATGTTTCTGACAGTGGTGGAAAAGAGAGGATCAGTTATCGGGGTCATCCGTGGTTAATACTGGGAAATGTGTAGCTATAGGGCTTTATTTTGCAATCGGTTTTTACTGTGTTCAGATATACAGAGCAAAATCTTTAAAAAAGGTCTTCTAGGTCTCAGTATAACCTTTAATCTTTGTTTATAAGGCTTTAATGCACAATGTCACCTCAAAAACCTGTCTTATTCACTAACCACCCACAATCCAAGTTAACCAAGCGCTAAATGCACTGCAATAGCTCTGTATTGAAATTAAGTCATTATCAGCACAGAGTCTGTACAATCTTAGTAGAGATTATTATTTTTTTGATTATTTTGTAGGTTGTTTTTGGTGGAGGTGGTGTACGTGTGTTTCCATACCTAAATCCATGCTCTTGGAGGACTTGTTGGTGGGGTAATCTGGGTTGTTCTGTCGTTGAGGGTTTTGTTGGTTGGTGGGGTGGATCATATATGAAACAGGCTCCATTTCAGCCCTACAAGACACATATCACACTTTTTAAAAGCTATGCATTCTCTGCTGATTCTATAATAAGCATAAAAAACACACCACCTCTCAAATGTTTGGGTGTAAAATGTTTTTGAATGAAGTATTTTAGTACTATTTTTAAATACTATTATAATTTCAAATAACTGTTTTTTTTATTTGAATATATTTTAAAATGTAATTTATTCTTGTGATGTAAAGCTGAATTTTCAGCATCATTACTCCAGTCTTCAGTGTCACATGATCCTTCAGAAATCATTCTAATATGCTGATCTGCTGTTCAAAAAAACATAGCAAAAGAACAGCAATTATTTGAAATAGAAATCTTTTGTAACATCATAAATGATTTTACATTTGAATTTATATTAAAAAAAAACTTACAGACACCAAACTTTTGAACGGTAGATAAAAATAGTCAATTATTCAATATGCAATAATATACATTGAACTAATTCAATTATTTACAACCAACATTCATTTCATTTATGTCCACTTATCCTGTAAATAAATGTTTCTCTGTGTGTGTAAACAAATATATAAGTGTACGTGGATAACATGTGCAATTTGACCGAATATTTGATGGTACAACTAGATAATGGCATAAATAACTCTTCTGCATGGTATCTTTCTGTTTTCAAGTCTTTGAAACAAGGCTTCAGGACACAATACTGAGCACTGATCAAAGTACCAGATTATTTGGTTTCACGATAAGAAATGTATTATCTCCAACTTTACTCTGAGCACAATAACTAACCGATCTTGTTGGTGTTTGTGCGGAGGGTTTGTTTCCAGCAGGTCCAGATCAGAAGGTGGAGGGGGGAAACCGTCTTCATCGTAATCTTCCTCCAGAAGTTCCTGTCGTCCACCATGGGATCCGTGCAGAGCTGCTTGGAAATATGAGTTTTAAAGTTATATACCATTATTAGAGCTTATGTTCGTCACACAAAGCCATTGTTTTGCAACAGAAGACTCATGTTTTTGTCATTTTTAGTTTTTTAGTTCACTTCTATTGTATGGGAAACAGTAATGTACAATATAATTTTGTGTTCCACTGAGAAATAGAAAGTCATACAGGTTTAAAATGACAGGAGGATGAGTTATTTCTGAATGAAAGTCCTTCCATTATGGGGAATAAGACACACTTGACCACGTTCATGGAGTTTTGAATCATCTAACGTGTGAGAAACACATTGAGACCTTTCTCAATGACCACACAACGTTCTGATCAATGTTAGCAGCACTAGTCTGAAATTACGACAGCACTAGTCTCCATTACGACTCAATTTTCTGCACTACTGTCCCCGTTTCTTCCACCATTTAGCCATTTATCGTAACGTGAGTGCAGAGTGACTGTGTCATATATATGCAGTGACATGAAATATTAATGCTGGTGCTGGCAAAAACATGTGATTAAAACTACACTTGTACGCCGAGTTAGGTGTTTTACATTTTTTAGATTCTACCAAATCTAACTGCAGCGAATGTGGAAAGCAATCTGAATTTGAAATGAGATGTGTGTAAATATCACATCCCTCTTTGTGCGACTAAAGTACAGTCACATACTTTGACGGACAAGAGACGCTAATCAGTAAACAATGGTTTCCCAAAAAACACGGGAAAAAGCCTTTTGTGTTGGCACGGCAACTCTCTGGAGAATCGCCGGGAAAGAATAGTGTGAATTTAAAACAGTTTGTTATCCGTTCTCGAACGCTCGGCACAATTGCAAGTATGCTAATAAGGCCCACTTAGAATCCATTTCATCAGCTTAATGATTTCAAGGTCAGGCCGCATTGCATAAAAGCAGAAGGGAATGTAGCAAAAATATCGTCATTGGCTTTTTCATCCCTATTGATGAGATGGGCAGATATCCAACTTGTAGAAGTCGAAAAAGCTAATGGAAAGCTACGCTGGCATGGAAAATGAGGCGACAGAGAAAATGAACTCATTTTTTCCCCTTACAGAGAAGCAAAGCACTCTTCACATGGTGTTGATGATGAACAAATGCTCATGCTTTCTTTTGTTGAGCACTAATCAATTTCATTTGTTTCTTTGACAGTGAGAGAATTTGGATGAAAGCACTTAACATTACATAAAAGCAATTACTTTTATCATTTGGTGTGCATTTAAGAAAGCAATCAACAAGTTAAGATGCATTCACACAGGACATGATTTGGCGACCACCAATGGAATCCACCACATGATCCAGTTGGATTCTGCAGCTGACTGCGAAGTAGGAATTAATAGTACAGCAACTTTATGTCACGACCTAGAGCAATTTAATAAGTGGCAGTGTGTACTTACCAGAAGAAGGCTCGTACATACGACTGCTTGCTGTGGATGGTGGTACGGAACTGTTGGTGTGGTTGCTGTTAAGAAGATGATGAACAGGAGAGTCGTTTCTGGTGGCAGTTTGACTGCTTTCTTGATTTTCCTAAAGAAGAGGGTGAAAAGTTGTAGAGAATACATTTTAGCATCCAAAAAATCAATGAAACATTGATCTGGAAGATGCTGATTGGGAAAACAGTCTTGACAACAAATATGGACATTTTAAAAGCATGTTGACCAACTCCCATATTGGGTTCATGCAGTCAGAAAGTCAACAAGTGGAACATCTGCCATGCAGCACAGAAAACAAGGTTAAGGAAATGGACGTGATTTGGGTGTACTGTATATAATTACACACAAAAAAAATCATAATTCTGTTGTTTACTTATCCTTAACCTTTTTCTACACTTGCTTGACCTTTCTTCCCTGAAACACACATTGAAATTTGCATTCAAGTATACTCAAATATGGAGAGCAAATACTCATAATAAATACTTTGTTTTGTGTTTTTTTTTACTGCCATCAAAAGTTGCGCAACATGTCTTGCTGCGTCGTATCTGAATGTAAGCAAAGTACACAACCATTCAAAAGTTCAAAAAGATATTAATACTTGAATTCAGCATGGATGCATTAAATTGATCAAAAGCGGCAGTAAAGACATTTCTAATGTTATAAAACATTCAAATAAATACTGTTCTTTAGAGCTTTCTATTCATCAAAGAATCCTGAAAAATCATGATTCCCACAAAAATCAGCAGCACAACCATTTTCAACAGTGATATTAACAAGAAATGTTTCTTGACCAACACATTAGCATATTAGAACGATTTCTGAAGGATCTTGTGACGATGAAGGCTGGAGTAATGAAAACTCAGCTTTGCATCACAGAAATAAATTACATCTTAAAATATATTCAAAAAGAAAAGTTATTTTAAATGATAATAAATTTCACAATATTATGTTTTTTTAGATATTTTTATTTATCAATTAAATGCAGACTTGGCGAGCATACAAGACAAAATCTTGGGGGGAAAAAAACATTTCTGAATGGTAGCGTACAATTGTGCACATTTTACAAGAAAAACTGTAGATACTAAAAAAGAAAAAGATTTTCTGTGAGAGAACAACCCTGGTATATGTATAATATAATATAAATACTGGGGGGGGGGGGGGGG